ACATTCATCTACCCGGCGGAGCTTGTTCTACTCGGTACTGCGTCAACGGGCGGATAAAGTGATAGGCTTTCTCGGTACTGTAACCCGGTTTCTGTGGGTCAAGCACACTACCGCTCTGGGCGACGTAGAAATGCGCTAGGAGGGTGGCGTTGTGTTGCACATCCTTGGGCACCTTGAACTCGGTGTTAATCTCCCTGTTCTGGCTATAGTCTCCAAACTTGAAGTTCTTCTCCTCAATCAGAAGCGATTCCGTGGGCATGCTGTCGAGCGGGGGCATGGCAATGGACGAGGAGATGTACATGGAGAAGTCGACCTCGGTGCCAACGGGCCACATGGGCGCAACATTATATGGGATGATGCTATGTTGTACGCCAGCATCGTATGAACGGGGACGGTTCTCCCACGCGGGAATCGCAACAGGCTGGCCGTTGGCGGACGGAGGAGCAACCGAAGTTCCGTCTTGCGAAGGAACCGGCGTGACAGGAGCCTTGGATGCCTGTGGCAGAATATACTTCATAGCACCCTGAATCAGGAGGAAGATACCGACGCTCTGTACAATCGTCCTGATCGGCTGCATTGGACGTTAGCCATGATGAGCAGACGGGACTTGAGGGGGGCCACAGTAGCCACCACTTACCCCTTTGCCCTCCTCGGCCGGTGCTGCTGCTTGTGCGTCAGGCATCGTGATGACTGCAGCGAAGAGATACAAACGCGTGATGAAAGTCTACGAAGAAGGAATCCGAAGAATATCAGGCAAACGCCGCGCGGGTGGGAATCTCTGACCTGCCAAGCATGTCTGCATCCAGAACCTTAGCTAGGTCAAGGGCTAGGCTAGGGACTTGAAGCCGCAACAGTGAAGCCAAGGCCAGGGTCCAGCGGTGGTCGGCCAGCCCGCGACTGGAAACGGCAGAACCTTGGAACTTTGAAGACGAGCAAGGTTGCGGCACGGCGCATTCGGTGACGAAGTGGCCGGGGTGGGTACCGTAGGTACTAACAGTCTGTACACACTGCACGGTGTGTGAGTATGCGTCACTCGTCGAGTCGACCATGGCCTTTGTCGTGACTGGGACCTGCATCTGGTGTCACTTTGTCGTCTGGCCGTTTGTCTTCGTGACGACTACATACACACACTCACTTCATTGACTTTCTCCGTGCGTCTGACAACGCTCTCTTTGATTGAATACATACCCACACATATATATTTACATCTCTATATACCCATCTATCTACCACACCCTACTTTTTGGCCGCGACTTTACTTTGCGTTCCGAACCCCAGTCCTGCCCCATTCCGATACCGGCACAGCCCTACCACGAACCACGATACAGCCAAAACACATGGCAGACCCCAACACCGCAACAGCCGGCAACGGCACGGCCAAGCAGCCCGTTGTCTGCGTATTGTACAGTTCCCCATTCTCCCCGCATGTCCCCGCAAAACACGACTGCGTACTGACAGCTCGACAAGCTGCGGCGCCTCCCAGGGCACCTCACCAGTGCACATGGCCGCCGCCCGCGCCCTTGCCCACGCCCTCCACGCCGCCAACACCAAGCTCGTCTACGGCGGCGGCACTGTCGGCCTCATGGGCGAAGTAGCCCGAACCCTCGTCTCGCTCAGCGGGCCCGACAGCGTCCACGGCATCATCCCCGCACCCCTCGTCAAATTCGAACAAAACTATGACCCCAACGATCCGTCTGGCCACTCCATTGACGCCTCTGTATACGGTCGCACAACCATCGTCAAAGACATGCACACGCGCAAGCAAGCCATGGCCCAGGAGGTCATCAATGGTGGACCTGGTGGTGGTTTCGTTGCGCTGAGTGGCGGCTACGGCACATTTGAGGAGCTGATGGAGGTTACGACGTGGAATCAGCTGGGCATACATAGCATGCCCGTCATCGTCTTCAATGTGGATGGCTATTGGACGGGCTTGATTGACTGGGTGAAGAATGCAGTGACGAGTGGATTCATTGCGCCGACGAATGCGGGCATCCTGGTCGAGGCCTTGAGTGCCGACGAGGTTATGACACATCTGAGGGACTATGAGAATGCGCCGGGGAGGTTCAATTTGACCTGGAACGAACAGTAGTAGATTCGACAATGACATCAGGACATCGTCCCTCGCCTCGATGCGAATGCCAATGTAGATATCAACCCGAATTCCAATGTAGATGTCAAATGCCTCATGTTCAAACGAGTCTATAGTCATATTCTGCCGAAAGTATTTCTAGATTCACTTCAATAGTTCGTTATAAACAATAATCGCAACGTCAGAGTCCGATAGTAGGATAACTACGGCCTACGAAACATTACCCATTCCCATGATACCTATAAGAAAATACGCAATGTATTAACCAGTAGAGCGGCTTCACCAAGCGCCCACGTTCGAATGGGAAACTTCAGTTGCGGCCACAACACCATGCCATGCTGGAAAAGACCTGTTCAATGGTTCGCCGAAGCTTTCCTCCCCCGATCCTGGGCAAAATATGCATGCAGACGTATATATCACCGGATAGAGACACCGGTGGTCAACTAGACAAGCGAAAGTATTCGTGATATGCAGAAGTATCGGAATCTCACCGGCGGTCCATATCCTGTCGCATCAATCATAAGCAGCCACCAATAGTCTGCTGATCGAGAATCGAGACTTTGATCAATCATGTTCATCAAAATATTCAAAAGCCTGGCAGCTGGAATCCAAAACCCGGTACGGCAGGCGGGACCATAACGCCTTGATCCGGTCGGGGCGAAATGTGGCGAGGATCATTGACAGGACGATGGTCCTGCTTGCGAAACTTTGGCGGGCCTTGATCCAATCCACCGCGTCCTGCATTGTGGAGTTCTCCACGGCTATTGAAGTCACCGCGGCCACCAAAGCCACCACGGCCACCGCGCGGTGCATCAGCAGCAACACGTCTGCTGATAGCTGTGTATGGTTAGATGGCAGAAGACAAAATTCGGACTGTACAGCTTACCCTTGGATGATACTCCCGCGCCAATCTCAATGTCAGGTTCTTCAATGACCATGCCTCCTTCTAGCATACGGCCACCCGTTCCCCCATGCTCAGCGTTGAGAGCCCACTTACGATCAGCATCAGTGAGTCGGAATATCGGGATCACGCTGATGCCAGATTGGTAGTCACTGCAATCGCGGGGTCCAAAGCCAACACCCCATCGAGTCTAGAATGATTAGTTGAAAGCATCAGCAAAGCACTACAAAATCAATCTCACCTGGCGCGCTTTCGTTTGCGCAACGGGGTCCTGGAGGCTGTCCATGCCTTCTTTGGCTGCAACTGCATCCGGACGAGTCATCATCTTGACAAAGGCATGCCGCTTTTCCTGGTTGACAATACAAGTCTGAACTCTACCAAAACGAGAAAAGATGCTGCGAATCTCACTTTCTGTCCCACCAGCACCGCCTACAAATAGGGTACGACTAAGTACTCTAATATGGTCGCGGGGCAGTGTATCATCCCACTCGATATACTTGGACTGACCATGTGCCGCTCTAGGGGGGCTTGGCTGTCGTCGGGGTGGACTGCGTTGACGGTATTCATTACGGTCATTACGGCCGCCACGTTGCTTACCACGACTGCGACCTCGCTCACCTGGCTCAAAGCGTAGCGCATTGCCATCAGGGCCAGCATTGGGATCGTAGACACCATACGTGGGACTCTCCCGACGATTAGGATTAGGCGGAGATTTACGCAGAGGGGACCGATTTCGTTGATAATCAGGCGAACGGCTACGGTCCCGCATTCTAGTATCATGTTGATCATACCGTTCAAGTTGGCTAACATTCTGGACGACAGGCTGCACTTGCGGCAACGGTGGTGGTAAAGTCATAGGCTGCGGTGGAGCAGGCGGCAAAGCTGCTCCTCCAGTTTGAGCTGCTGCCAATGCATTCAGTACCTGTATAGCCTGCTCTGGAGCAATTGAGCCTACGCTCATTGCTTGTAGTATCTGACCAGCTAACTCGCTCATGCCGGCGGGCGGGGGTGGCAAAGCACTCTGTGCAGTGGATGCAGCTGGTGGTGGAGGAACAAATCCAGGCGGAGGCGGTGGTGGCCCACCTTGTAGGAAAGGAAAAGAGGGTGCTGCCGGAGGAGCATTAGTTGAAGCGACTTGCTGGTTCAAGCTAGCAAGTGCGGCAAATTGAGCACCAGCGATCTGTGGAATCTGGGTTTGAACATGCGGAGGTGGAGGCTGCTGGTTAGTCTGGCCACCGAAGGCCTGTGCTACAGCATTACCGTTCGAGAGAGTAGCGGGTGCAGACTGCACGTCTAGTAGGTCATATTAGAACAAGTTGGAAGAACGACTGAGCCAAACCTACTGCTCTGTCCACCATTGAGCAATTGCTTGAAGGTTGCAAGCATGTCTGATGGGAATGTCTGCCCCCGTTGCCATATGTCTAGGAGCTTCGATATCTTTTCCCTTTGGCTATCAGGGGCTGACTGGGCAAGATTGGTCATCAAGACAGGTAGCACGTCTCGAATCAACTGGACGCCAGAAGCAAAAGTGCCCGACGCAGCGCTCTTGGACACAGCTTGACCAGAAGCCTTGGCTTTCTCTAACCACTGTCGAGCGACAGCATCTACAACGTATATTACTCCGAGTTTGTGGGTGGCAGCGCTGTTCTGAAACTGTTGGACAATCCTCTGGATGATGAGGTGTTCGGACTAGAAGCAAACGCATATCCTTAGCAACGATCGAGCATGGACGGCACGGGAAATGAAAGGCGTAGCCAGCATACCTGAATGTTGTCCACACATATTTGCGTGATGGTCTTGATTTTCGTGGGCGTTACCCCCGGTGGCTTCAAAGCTTGTAGGGACTGCAATTGTGTTGACAACTCCTCCATCGCTGCCATGATTAGGTTCAATATGCCAGACCAGACTCGACGAGAAAGAAAATCAAAAGGTGCCACAACTTGAGCTGTTCTAGATCCTAGTCCTAGGCGTGCGCTACGAGCACCGAGATGGCAAACACACGCAAACAATACTCGAGTCCCTAAGCAGAAGCCGAAGGCTAGTGATCTACTTGAATGTAGAGGATGAGGCACGCAGGCAGTTGCAGCTGCAGCGGCGGTGAGAGTGCGTGATGAGATTCTTTGGAGCTGAGCGCGCTTTCCAAGGCTGGTGTGCGCTGTACTCTAGGGCACGACCACGTTACTGGTGAGAGCGGACGGCGCAAGTGCTTACACGGGGTGCGAGTGAGTCGCGGAGATGTAGGGAGTCAAGTAGGCAAAGTGAAATGGGGTTTTGCGAGAATGAGTGACGGTCTAATGTGAGGCGCAGTTGCAGAGCCCTACGTGATGCGATGCTTAGGTGGATGGAAAAATGAAGACGGCGGTGGCAGGGCAGGTGCGACAAACCAAACATGGACGTTAGTCGGAAGAAAGAAAGGTCCGGCGCGCGGGGATGACGCTAGATTCCCTGTTTCCAGCACGTGACCGCTGTGTGGCTTTGACCCTTGGCGCTCGCTCCCGTCTGGCTTCTTGGGACGAGATGCTGTACTTGGAGTACTCCTACTAGTAGTAGCTGTGTACTACCTATGTACTTTATAGTGCATGCTGTAAGTAGTACATGTCAGGTAGATACCCATGTACAATATAGTCGGTCCCTACACGCGGGAAAGCGCTGACCCGAGCGAGGAGCGTTTACTGTATAAGAGAGCAGATATGCACACAGAGCCTCACTGCGTCCAGATCCAGTACCGGCACCGGTACCGGCACCTAGCTATGCACCCAGAGTTCCTAGATTCTGGTGCAATCTATGTAGGGCTTGGAGCGAAGGTTGCGCGCACTGCCTTTTCTCTACCCAACGTTGACATCAGATTTTCACAAGCATCCAGTCGTCCAGTCGGATAGGTGGACAATCCGAGAATGATATAGCTAACCAAGCTGACCGACCGCAAGCTGTGATGAGTTTCGGCCGTCACAGATTTCATCTTAAAAAAAGCAACGGCTCGCCGGCCTGTCAGCTAGTGCTTGAATGCTGCCATGTAGGTATCACGTCACGCACTGTAAAAAGCAGCTTCGGCCTGTCCTGCTCCATCTGCGATCGGCAACGAGGAACGGAAGCTTTTCTTTCGGGTGCGCGCGCGCGATGATGACGATGACGGCCGTGCTTTTGCTGTGAGCCGAATTTCTCCATCGTCAAAGCCGCTAGCATTTAACCACTTTTTCATCCCACCATTCTCTCCATCATCCCCTCAATCCCACACCATGGCTTCCGCTCTCCGTCTCTCGAGCGCATTCCGCGCCGCCGCCCCTCTGCGGACTACAGCCTTCAATGGCTTCCGCTGCTACTCTAGCAAGACCACCGTAGGCGCACTTTCTGCACCCACACCTGGTCGAAGAAGCCTGCTAACCCGGTCAATGGCAGTCCTTGAAGGAGACCTTCGCTAACAAGCTGCCCGGCGAGATCGAGAAGATCAAGAAGCTTCGCAAGTAGGCAGCCAGTGCAATGCGCGACGTGGCAACACATGGTTAACAGGACATCAGGGAGCATGGCAACAAGGTCATTGGCGAGGTCACTCTGGACCAGGTCTACGGCGGTGCCCGTGGCATCAAGTCCCTAGTCTGGGAGGGATCTGTCCTCGACTCCGAGGAGGGTATCCGTTTCCGTGGCAAGACGGTACGTCACATCTCAGCGCAGCCAGCTGAGGTTTGCATCACTCACAGCAGGCTAGATCCCCGAATGCCAAAAGCTCCTCCCCAAGGCCCCCGGTGGCCAGGAGCCTCTTCCAGAAGGTCTCTTTTGGCTTCTGTTGACCGGCGAAGTCCCCTCCGAGCAGCAAGTTCGCGACCTCTCGGCCGAATGGGCTGCCCGCTCCGATGTTCCCAAGTTTGTCGAGGAGCTCATCGACCGCTGCCCCAGCGACCTCCACCCCATGGCCCAGTTCTCGCTCGCCGTCACTGCTCTCGAGCACGAGTCTAACTTCGCCAAAGCCTATGCCAAGGGCATTCCCAAGTCCCAGTACTGGGAGCACACCTTTGAGGACTCGATGGACCTCATTGCTAAGCTGCCCACAATTGCGGCCAAGATCTACCGCAACGTCTACAAGGACGGAAAGGTTGCGCCCATCCAGAAGGACAAGGATTATGCCTTCAACTTGGCCAACCAGCTCGGTTTCTCCGAGAACAAGGACTTTGTTGAGCTGATGCGCTTGTACCTCACCATCCACACTGACCATGAAGGCGGCAACGTCAGCGCCCACACCACTCACTTGGTCGGCTCCGCACTCAGCTCACCCTATCTCTCCTTGGCTGCTGGTCTCAATGGTCTTGCTGGCCCTCTCCACGGACTTGCCAACCAGGAAGTGCTCGTCTGGCTGCAGAAGATGAAGAAGGCTATCGGCAATGACCTCAGCGACCAGGCCATCAAGGATTACCTATGGTCCACTCTCAAGGCTGGCCAAGTCGTTCCCGGATACGGCCACGCTGTTCTCCGCAAGACCGACCCCCGCTACGTTTCGCAGCGCGAGTTTGCCCAGAAGCACTTGCCCGATGACCCCATGTTCAAGCTGGTCAGCCAGGTCTACAAGATTGCGCCCGGCGTCCTTACCGAGCACGGCAAGACGAAGAACCCGTACCCCAACGTTGACGCCCACTCTGGTGTTCTCCTGCAATACTACGGCCTTACCGAGCAGAACTACTACACTGTTCTCTTCGGTGTCTCGCGTGCTCTTGGTGTGCTTCCCCAGCTCATTATTGACCGCGCTGTGGGTGCGCCCATTGAGAGGCCCAAGTCTTTCAGCACTGAGGCTTACGCAAAGTTGGTGGGCGCCACCTTGTAAGAGTATTGCACGCGTTTGCACGATGGTCCAGCGACTATGGAAGAACTTGCTTGTAACTCGAAAGATACCTTGTCCTGTGTAGAAATAAAACTGTATGGATAAGGGTTAGGAGCGTTCCGGCGCCGTGATTTGATGATTGATTAGGGCACCTGTGGCTTGTTGCAATACCATCTCGTAAGAATTGACGAAAACTCCGCTCTCCAAAAGAAGTATGAGGCTGTGTACACTATGTTTCTGTATCATGATCTGTAAGCTAGTCGGAGCACTATGTAGCAATATGCAAGTCATGTCGGCGATGCCAGCGATGCCAGCCCTGCCAGGAATGTCGGCGGTGTGAGAATGAGCGAGCACGATCAGCTCTCATGGCAGGGAGGCCAAGCCGTCCGTATCAGCTCTCGGTGAGCGATGGGGAACCGAGCGGTTTGTTGAACTTGTGCCAATGCGTCCGGTGTCACACCGAACTTCAACAAACATTTCTTTCGATAAAGATGCGGGCGGCGAAACTTGAAAAATCGCGACATCATGGATAATGGAAGCTGGCAATTCAAGACACGGTTTGTCATGCGTTGAACGTCACATGTAAAAGGTCTACACTGCACCATAGTACCTAGGTACCTAGCACAGTATATCCCCTTGTCACAAGCAAAGTGCAACCAAAAGGTCGGACGTTCCTCTTCCCCCTTCCAGGGCTCCCCCCGCCTCTCCCCGCCAAGGTGTGCCCAATCGATAGTTAGCCTCAGGGCTCGGGAACCCCCAAAATAGTGAGTCGCCCTGCCCTGTGAACGGCCCCCAACACAGCGCCCTCACACAGACCACCTCGCAAGCTTATCCGTTCCTGTTCCTGTGTTTTCTTCGAGCCCTTCGTTTCTTTTGCTCTGCTTCTGCACACTCTACACACTCAACATCGGCGACGAAGCACCCTATTGCCTTGGTCAGGCCCCTTATCTTCGACAAGAGAATCCCAGAGAATGAGCTCCACACCTGCCACGGGCGTGCCTACCATGGCCAGAAATGGCCCACCGACGCTTGAGAAGAAGCCGGTCAAGTTCAGCAACTTGCTACGTGAGTGTGCAGTCCCGAGGAACAGCCAACGTGTGCTGATGTAGCTATCAGTGGGTGCTGGTCTCAACCTGTTCGAGTACGTTGTTCCCCCGCAACATTGGCACACTTCGAGAGAAAACGAAGACTGACACGATACAAACAGGGTGACAACTCTGGGACAGGTACATATCCCCTCCAATGGCAACCACTGCAGCGCCGAACAAATACTAACATGGCAGTCAATAGCCGTTGGAGGTCGTCAAGACTACCATGGCTGCCAACAGGTCTGAAGGCTTCGCGGGAGCTATCGGCCGCATTTGGGCGCGTGGAGGTGTTTTCGGGTGTAAGTTCCCGCGACAGCAACACATGTGCATCGCCCAACTGACATGATTGCAGTCTACCAGGGTCTCATCCCATGGGCCTGGATTGAGGCCTCCACCAAGGGCGCCGTCCTGCTCTTCGTCGCTTCCGAAGCCGAGTACTACGCCAAGTCCTTCGGCGCACCCGACTTCGTTGCTGGTATCTCGGGCGGTATGACGGGTGGTCTCGCTCAGGCATATGCGACCATGGGTTTCTGCACTTGCATGAAGACGGTGGAAATCACAAAGCACAAGGTCGCAGCCACAGGCGCGAAGCCCCCTGGCACCCTCGAGACTTTCATGAACATCTGGCGCACAGAAGGTCTCCGCGGTATCAACCGCGGTGTGAATGCCGTCGCAGTGCGCCAGGTCACCAACTGGGGGTCTCGTTTCGGTCTGTCCCGTGTCGCGGAGCAGGGTATCCGAAAGGTCGGCGGCAAGGAGCATGGCGAGAAGCTCAGCGTGATTGAAAAGATCACTGCTTCGGCCCTCGGCGGTGGTTTGAGCGCATGGAACCAGCCTATTGAGGTGATCCGTGTTGAGCTCCAGTCCAAGACGGTTGACCCCAACCGCCCCAAGAACCTAAACGTTGCTTCGGCTTTCAAGTACATCTACTCCAACAACGGTATCAAGGGTCTGTACCGTGGTGTTACTCCCCGTATTGGTCTTGGCGTTTGGCAGACGGTCTGCATGGTCGCTCTCGGAGATGTGTAAGTTTGCTTCAACAGGCTCGATCGTTTTCAATAGCTAACCTGTGTGTAGTGCCAAGGAGGCTGTCGAGAAACTCACTGGTGACAAAGTCACCGCAAAGCATTAGACGGCGTTTCGTTTGAAGCCAGCAACTTGCTTTTCCCAGTACTGTATCAATTCAGATACCCCTGGTGTAAAAACACGTTGTTGGCCATTGATATTATTCATAAGCAGTGCCCTGCGAGCATCAAGCATGGCAATTTTTTCATGAGCAATACAACGAACATGCACATATAGTCATGCTACAATTACAATGCACAATTACAATGTTGTAATTCGCGTACCAAGCTTTATTGCCTCTTAAACTGTTCCCGTATCGCACTCCTGCTGAATGAGAGTCCCTTGAGAGTTTCCGGCTTGATTTTCATCAGAATATCATGTTGACTCCTCGCGCCTTTCTCCAGTGCTCGATAAGTTCTGAATTGTTGCTAAGTAAGCTCGTTCAAGTTATGGCCAATCAGAACATGGCGCTAAGCCACCCATCCATCCATCAGACAACCAACCTCCGTCTACACTTCTACACCAGACGTTCATGTAATTCATTATCCAGCACAAGAATGAGGCATCAAAGATGTCGCATCATATTACTTGTACCCCGACAGGCGTACATCCGGGATACAAACGAGTGAGTACCTGCCAGCACGATGACTAGCTTTCACGGTTGCCTGTGTGGTCAGCAATTGATATTACAAGCCCGGACTGCACCACTGTATTGCTGCAAGCGTCATTGTGGTGATAACAATACCTACTATCTAGACTATCTCATCAGAGAAACTTTCGTATTCGAGTACCGAAATATTAAAAGTCTAGGTATTGGCAAACTGACCACATTCAGTATCCTGACCGCATCGATCGACCCAAGATCAAGGCATGGCGGTGCGAATTGACTGCCCTCTCGCAAGTCTATAATCTGTATTTTCTTGCCTGTAATGACACCATCCACGTCTACCAGCCAAGCTTTCCCGATCAAAATCTGCCTAGTGAGCCCCAGCTCATATTAGATCTGCCAGTATCTCCTCAGACTGGGAGTGGAATCGACCCCCAGGACCCGCACTCTGTCACTCGAATTCTTGTCGATTATCTGGGATGCGACGAAATCCTTTTGGTGGCCTGTGATGATGGTGATGTCGTGGGGTACCGTATTGATGAGATTCAGAGATTCCTGGATGAACGAATGTCGACGAAGGAGAGTGATTCGAAGTCTCTTCCAGAGGACGGGACCGTCAAATGCTTTCTTCACCGTAATGTTGGAGCCAGTGCTTGGGGTCTAGCTGTGCATCGAGAAGCTCGAATTATCGCTATTAGCGCAAATACGCACAAGATCACTGTCATTGAATTTGCACTCTCAGAACCGCCTCTCCGGTGTCGAGAGTGTCCGTCAGACTCAGTGGCACTTCAAAATATCGAACCCCTGGATCGATATACACGAAAGGAGGATCGCGCGTTTGACCTACTGGGCGAAACCAATATCCCAGCAGTCTCTTTCAACAATACTGGGGACGACCCATCGGGACACTGGCTGTTCAGTTGCTCAATTGATGGAGCAACGACCGTATGGGACTTGCATGTGCCGATTTTACCCTATGCAGTCTTTCGATTTGGATTCTGTGCGAATGCATATGCTCCATCAAATGCACCGCGCCTGTGTATATGTGTTGATTCCGGAAATGTACCTCATGGTGTCTGGGGTGCACTTCCGCTCGACACGCGTTCAGCCCGCGAAATATCCGTTCAGGAACGTGACTCCTTACGACCCCACAATGATGAGCCTTGCTTCAGGACAATTTGTCCACCGAGCAAGAGATTTACGAAGGGAAGACCTAAGCGTACTGTTTTCGAACAGTTTCCTAGACTCTGTTTGCCGGATGATGCTGAAGATGATGACGTGATGGTATTGGATGATGTTTCGGAGGCAAGTAGTTCGACCTCAGAAGATATAGGGAGCCAAGAGGAGGGCTCGCGGCGCGATGCGACAGTCAGTCTTGATGGAACATCAGGTGGGACTAGCGCTGAAAAGAATATCACGCACACGCATGGAGCCTCTTATAGCAGTAGCAGTCTCTCTTCAGACTCGTCTCCTGGAACAGGAGGCCCTTTTCAAGGAGCTTCTGATCAGGCTCATATGCAGCCTCAAGGGAATTCCGCCAGCCACGAAGTTTCTGGACATTCTACCTCGCAGTCACTCGCGGGACCACCTTTGAATCAAACAGAGGCTGCTGAAGAGGATGAACTGGTAAGCCATTAATGCTTCCATGGTCAATATGTCCATCTGAACATGGTCCTTTCATGTTGTTTCTCTTTTAGCACTTTCATCAATTTCAAATGCCGCAGAGGATTCACATAATCTGCAGCCGTCAATTTTCGAGCAACTCATCTCACTGTCCTCAATATACTGATATAATCGTGACACTAGCTCGAAGACGACACCGATGAGAGCGACAGCAACGAATCCGACATGGATTCCGAAAACGACTCGCCATATTTCCCCACAGAACTCGCAGGCTACAGACTAGCAAAACGTGCATACCGTGAAGTCTCAACTCGCGCGGGTTTGCCCGATCGACCAGTACGTCTCCCATCCCAGATACCTTGATACACAAAAGTGCAGAAGAAGAAAATGCTAAAAAAGGATCTACAGCTCACCACCCCTATCCGCCCCTGTCTCGTACTCACCAAAGAAGAAATCTACCTCATCCAGCGGCCCTGCCCGTCCTTCCGCTTCCATCCTCCAGACACCATACTCACCATGCGCCGCCCCTTGGATCCAGACAACTCAAACGCCTGTCTCGCACCGTACGACCGTCTGTGCTACTATACCCAAATCCCCGACCTCGGCCTCTTCATCGTCGCCTCGCCCGTCGGGCGTGCCGCCGTGTTCGCCCTGACGTATACGAAAGAGCCGTCGACGTCGGAGGTGGATTATAGCTTTAGCCTCGAGTATATCTTACCGTTTGCCCCTGGCAATGAGACGGAGCTGGTCAATGTGCCGAATGCGAGGTTGTTGGGAATTGCTGTGGCACCTGTGCAAGGTAAGTTCTTCCCTTCCTTACCCCACTGGGGTTGTTTGTGTTCTTGTGTGTGATTCTTTTTCTCTGTTCTTTTTGCTAATTTGGTCTGGAACTGGCAATATAGGTATGGCGGATGTGCAACGTTTGCAGTCGAGGAAATGGCGCCTTTTGATGTATTATACGGATCATACGGTGTTGAGTTTTGAGCTGGTGAGGCGGGGGCAGGGAGATATTTCTGATGTTAGGGAGCTGGTTGTGTAGGAAGAGCGGGAATTAGGTTGGTGAGGATCGGGTGAGGGGGCTTTTCTTTTTCCCTTCGTGATTATGGCGTTTGGAAGGCGGTTGAAAGGTGTTTCATCTGTAGGTTACGGTTGATACTAGGAGGCATTGTTATATGCTGAGTATGGGTATAAAAATGATCATGGACAGAAGATAAATATAGGTCATGTTGGAGACTGGGGTTTTAAGGGTGCTAGTTGTCTAATATGGATATATGCTTTGTATGTGGCGACCTCATACGTATTTCAAAATATACACACAATGTTCATGATATAGAACCATCAACGAAATAAACCACAGACCGAGCGATATAAATTATGGAAAAGTTTCATTATCATATAATATGCCTAAATGGTAAATGTAGTAGTAGTCGATAGGCAAACTAGCCCCCACTCAACTTACCCATGCTCGCTATCCTCAAAGCAAGCAACAGACTAGATATCAAATCCCATGCATGTATACTCCATGCTATCGAAACGCCACCCATGCAAAACCGCCCTCGTGAAAAAGGAAGAAACAGCATTGTCGATGCTCATGCGCCATGTGCCAGATGACTTGCTATTACGCCGTCCATCCGGGGGTTCCCTTCCCATTCCCCGGTTCACTAATGTACAGTCGGACAGGTAGGAAAAGTAAAATAGGCCTCATGTCAGAAGCCATTGAAGCCCATGACCACGCCGGCGCCCATGAGCGCCGCCGCACCACCAACCCACGGGTTCGTCGTTGCGCCGGGCATGGCGGCTGCCGTGCTCGTTCGCGTCCCACCACCCGTGATATTAGGGCCATTGATGCGGGGACCGCCGGTGGCGACAGCAGCTGTACTGACAGCGCCCTGGACGACGCTAGCGCCTGGCACGCCGTCTGCGCCCTTTTGGATTTCCTGAATGTTCTGGGTGGTGGAGTTGAAGTTTGTGGGCGCGATGCTGATTTCGTTGTTGGCGAGATCGTAGACGACGTATGCGCTGCGCAAAAAGGTGTCGCCGAGGACGGAGACGGAGTTGCCTGCGGGTCCGATGCCGAGGATGCAGATTTCTTGTCCCCTGGATACAGAGGCTACGATGACGAGTTCGTTGATGGGCACCGAGATGGTGATGCCGCTGAAGACGAAGTCGAGGGAGCCTTGCTGGTTGGCTAGGTCGCAGGATACAAAGGCGGCGCCTTGCTGGGCGTCGAATTGCGCGTCAAAGGTCTGGTAGAGCGAGCGGACTACGTTGTTGGGCAGGTACATGAGTGAGGAGCCCGAGTCGAGCAGGACGGGCACATTGTCGTTTGCGAAGATGGACCCGTTTTGCCCGTTTCGACCCATGCCTGTGAGCGCGATGATGAACTCGGCGTATTCGCCTTCTTCTGGAATGATGGGTAGGGTCGCGAGGTCGCCCACATACTTGTCGCTGTCGACGCCGCCGAAGAGGATGGAGCCGGTGGAGGCATCGAGGTCGTTGAGCCAGAGCGAGTAGGCGTTGCTGTTGATCGTGTTGTCGTCAACTAGTTTCTGGGGTAGGTTTGGGTAAGGGTCGAGGCCTGCACGACCGACTGCTACTTCATTTGCAGTGTATCCGATTCCGAGGACGCCTTCGGTCGAGCTTGACGTGTAGCCGATACCGAACTGGAGATCTTCGATTGTGATGCCGCCGAAGCGAAAGGCATCTTTCGCGTAGTCGCCTGCTGCGCCCGAGCCGTCCATGTAGGAGATGTTGAAGACGCTGTTAACGTATTCGTACGTTGACGAGTCGTTTGCGCGATAAGTGCCCGACTCGCCGCACTGGTTCCCGCCGGACTGACATAGTTGCGATGTCGCCGAGTTGACCCAGAGATCACTGCTGCCCGTGTCGATGTGGAAGCGGAAGTTCTGGGCCGGGGTGCCTAGACTCGCGTTCGCATAGTAGAGTGTTTCTAGATTGTCGAGTGTTTGCTGGACGGTCTTTGCCCGTCTCCTCAGTTGATCGTGTGCGACAGGATTCACGATGCTGCGGCGCTGTGTCTCGACACGGACGACTTTGGGGTTCTGCGAGGAAGCCTGGTCAGCTATGGCATTCTGGAGTCTGGACGAAGTATCGCCGCATAGGGCATGGGCAATATTATCCCGAGCGGGAGGATGCATTCCGGTTTAGGGTACAGCCGAAATCGTGCTTACATACCTCTGACCGCGGCGCCAGGGTTAACGCGACGGCCGACGACACCAATTGCGCTGCAAGATAGGCCGAGTATTTCATGGTGGAATGGTGGAATGGAGAAGGGAGCCCTCGCAAGGAAAAAGTGGCGATGGTAGGACAGCTTATGGCAGACACAGGAGACGATGAGGAATCCCAGCAGCAGCTTGTTCTGGCAGGGCTGACGCAGCAAGAGTCAGGGAAAGGCTGCGCCCGGTTTCGAGAGGGCAGCTCTGAGGCACAAGTGCTGGGGCCAAAAGGTACTTGGGCACACGGGAAATAAGCACGAAAGGAAACAGCAGCAAGTGAATGGCGACGAATCCCATGACCCTGCTACATACCTATTTCACGCAACCAGAGAGCGACGACGCCGGGCCTTGAGGACGGTTGCTAGCGAGCAGCTTAGCCGTGGTGATGACGACGCACCTGGGCAGTCTGTTGCCGTTACGCAGCCTGCGCTTCCATGAATCTACTCTAGCGACCCATGGTCCACGTAATTTCCAGCAATCGGGCGCCACACTCTCCGCGCCCGTTCTCTGCAGAGTGCAGAGTGGACCAACGAGGGAATCCTGTCGGCTCGTCCTGGAACCGTGGGCCTGCGTCTGGCCGTGGCGGTGCACCCACAGCGGTTCGACGCCCATCCGCTGCGGTCCTGGGTCCTGCTGTTGGAGCCAGTACTGAGCACATGGTCAAAGTCCAGTACTACGATAGGATGACTCCGACGCTGACCTTGCTCATGTCACTAAACTGCTAAGCATGGCATTGCATTGTGAGTAGGTATGGAGGCGGCAGGCCAACCGACCATGCGAAGGACCTCAGTTGACCTGGGATTGACATGAGTACCTGTACCTACGGTAGTGTCTCGATGTTGGATTTGTCGTCTGTACCCACCATATGCTCGTGCTACAATCCAGCTGACATGCATAGGAGTCGTACTAATCGCGCTTCTCAGTCTCATGCCACTGATCGTATCATTGGGTACTAACGGGGCCATGGCTAGAGTACGTTGGGTTGGTGGTGTTGGAGGAGGAGCACGTGAGAGCTAGTCTGCATTGAGATGACCCGTGAAAGCGCGTCCAAGTCCCAATCGCGTCTCGCGTCAGATCGGCCCCTCCAACTCAAGTCCGTCAGCACCTGGCACCTCACTGCTCAGCACCCCCAGCATCCCAGCACCACACACACCATGGCCAAGGCAGAATCTTCAAAAGCAGCAGCCGGCAATGGCGTACGGCCGAATCCCAACGCAGCTGGAGGCGCCAATTACGAATTACCGTGGTGAGCCTTTCTCAAAGTACCAGATGCAAAGTCTCCAAGCTACTTTCTAACCTCGCATACAGGGTAGAGAAATACCGCCCTGTCTACCTCGACGATGTCGTCGGCAACACCGAAACCATTGAGCGCCTCAAGATCATCGCCAAAGACGGCAACATGCCTCACATGATCATCTCAGGCATGCCTGGTATTGGAAAGACAACCTCGATCCTCTGTCTTGCGCGCCAACTCCTCGGCGATGCCTACAAAGAGGCAGTCCTCGAACTCAACGCCTCCGACGAGCGAGGTATCGATGTGGTCAGAAATAGGATAAAAGGGTTTGCCCAAAAAAAGGTCACGCTTCCGCCCGGAAGACAAAAGCTGGTCATCCTCGATGAGGCGGACAGTATGACGAGTGGTGCACAACAAGCTCTAAGGAGGACGATGGAGATCTACAGCTCAACAACGAGATTTGCATTTGCGTGCAACCAGTCAAACAAGATTATCGAGCCGCTACAATCGAGATGCGCCATCTTGCGTTACGCTCGTCTGACGGACGCGCAAGTTGTCAGAAGGGTGATGCAGATATGTGAGGCAGAAGACGTTCAATATTCTGACGATGGTATTGCAGCACTGGTATTCTCTGCAGAAGGCGATATGCGACAAGCCATCAACAACCTGCAATCGACACACGCAGGCTTCGGGTTCGTGAATGGCGACAATGTATTCAGAGTAGTGGATAGCCCGCATCCGATCAAAGTACAGGCTATGATCAAAAGCTGTCACGAGCAGAGAATCGATGATGCGCTGACTGCCCTGAAAGAGTTGTGGGATCTGGGATATTCATGTCACGATATCATCAGCACCATGTTCAAGGTTACAAAGACGATCGATACGTTGAGCGAGCATGCTAAACTAGAGTTTATCAAGGTATATTCAGACAGCGCTATGAAAGTAGTTAAAGGGGCTGACGAGAACAACAGGAAATCGGCTTTACACACATGCGCATCCTCGAAGGAGTCCAAACACTGCTCCAGCTTTCAGGCTGCATAGCACGTCTCTGCAAAATCAACATGCAACCCCAGCTCTTTGCCATGTAATCGCAATCGAATTAGTGTATGCACTCTCGCATCTACGTATCACTTTAGCACGGCGTTAGGAGTTGACAACCGATTTACTAACACATGAATCCGTACCTTGCCCAGGAACCATTGAATTAAAAGCATTCAAAGTACCTCTCGAGATATCTTCCAGTTTCCGTCCTGGGCTGTTGCGGTTTTCTAGACATACAATCACGATCCCATTTATGGTCTGGATCATCCGCTTTCCAAACAACTTCCGAGCTGAAAGTACTTATTGTCGTCCTCTGTCTGCTGTTTGGGGGGAGTGCCGTGCAGGAGTCGATAAATCACTATCGTCCTCATTGCCACGTCTCTCAGCCTCGCTCATATCAACCATCTCGATATCTCCCGTCGGTACAGGTTGGCCCGGTACAACACCATCAACTAGCGTCACTGCAGTCGACAGACGTTGTTCATGTGCTGGTTGTGGCGTTCCTGTCGCCTGTTGTAAATTCCGTTCTTGTCTGGGTTGCCGCTGTTGTCGCCATGGAATGCAAGGACAGCACAATTTTAGGAGTGTGAAACAGCACCTTGCTAAGTCTGGAAGGTGGAGGATGAAGTAGGTAAGGCCAATCGTGAGAGCCATACCAATCATCGCGTAGGTGATTATGAGAGCTCCGGTGTCGAAATCGGCCATGCTTATAGATTTGAGTGTATCAGTACTCTGGGGTCCAAGGAATCTAGGGCCAATGCCAATTTATGTCTCGCAGTTCCTACAGCGTTTGTCCTGAGGGAGCGTGATGGATATGTGCTTGCTTCGGTTTTGATGTATAGGTGTCATTCTTCGCAAGCCTTCGTCTCATTCCAGATCTATTGCTTCACCATTAACCCATTCTAACATGCCCCTGATATCCCTCTTCGAAGTCCGCTACTCACCCACGCCTCCACTTTTGGATATAACCCTTGTTTCCCCAGAGATGAAAAGGATCAAGTAGTCCCTGCCACCAACTTCGTTTCTCTGCCTCCTTCTCCAACCTCACTCGTTCTAACTCTTCATCCGTCATATCCCAGAACTGCGTTTCTTTGTCCCTGCCTCTGAACAAATCCCAAAGATCAAATGGATCAAAAATTGTAATAATCCACGGCCTATCATCCTTCCATCCAGGTCCCTTGCGCTCCGTGACACCATCACGCGCCAAGAATACATCATTAGACTTTGGAAGTCGCTTCCCCCGGTGATAAAGGTTCAGCAATGCTGTATTGACAAACATGATACTCGCCTCAAAGATCCAGAAATACACTTCATTCGTGTAGATCGGGGACTGCCAACCAAGAATGTACTCCACGAGCCGGTAGATACAACGAATTGTTATAATCCCCGCACTGATATACAGCACCCACAGCACCGCACGCAGGTCTTTCGACAAAACGCCCGCGATATCGGCGCGCACATGAAACATGGCTGTCAGAAATCCGAAAGCGCCAAATAATAGGCTTTGCAAACATAAGCTCGCCATTACCATTTGTTTGCCTACATCACGTTCATCGTCTGTCAAGCTGCTATTTGCCATCCTCCATGCCCCGTTGCCGATGAGGACTTCGCATACCCCGTCTAGGCCGATGAAAGTGGTAGCGATGCGACCTGGGTGAAGAGGGGCGAGGTAGGGGATATAGTACAGGATTCGGGAGAGTATGAGGTAATTGATAAGTGCGTAGACGGGGGGGCCAGACATGATGAGGACGGTTGAGGCGATTAGGTAGGCGAGGGAGGTTGGGGTGTAGGAACCGGCTAGGCGGAGGGTGAAGCCGGTGAGCATGAGGAGGGCGGCCCAGGGGAGGAGGAGGGTTGTGCGGTAGGATTTGTGGATGCTGGAGGTGTTATTAGGAAGGGTGGAATAGATATGGTGACTTGATGTAGTTGTAGAGGGGCTGCAGGAAAGAAAATGCCTTTACATTGTTTGATATGCGTGTATGACCCCTGAAACAAAGAAGAGTATGATGAAGACTATAGGTGCAGCCTTGTTTGGAGCATAGTACCAGACACTTCCAGGGGAGTAGTCACCCATAGCCATATTCATTCATGATGGAGTTGGATTCAGCAGAGAGAATATTTTAAAAAATTGCGAGTTCTATAATTCCATTGTTCAATTAAGGAGATGCATGAGGAGATAACCATCTATATGGCTCCCAGTCGACACAATATAAGGCCCCTTCTTGAACGTAATACGATCCAAACAGTCCTTTCAGATTGGTAGAAAAGCAACATGAGTGCATATAGAAGGACCATGGAGATAATTAGATTAGCAGAATCGATCGTTGCCAGAAGCTGGTTTAGATAATTATAAGCCATTCAATACGAGGAATGCGACAGCGGCCCGCAAGGCATATCGCAAGGTTGATCAAAGAAGCGATCTACGCTGCTCATAGGATTTCGCACGATTGGACGTACGGAAAGAATAGCGCAAAGGTCATATCTTGACTGGTGGCGACGAACCGAGGTGGCTGATCCCATGTGACGTTGGAGGTTGGGTGAAGGCGGCTTCACGTGCAGAGTGGGGCAGCGTGGAGAGGCTAGAGCGAGTTTAGCTTGGTAGGACGGCAGGTCGGTCGAGCTTCCCAACCTTGGAAGCACAACGTTCATCTCACTGCGGTAACAGCAGCCGTAAGGTTGAACAAGCGTCACTCGTACCGTAATTTACTTTGCTACTCATACCCCCCGTGTGTGTTTGATGAGTGCGGCTGGAAATGGTGCGCCAGCCCTGGGTGCCACAGAAGATGGGTCTAGGCGCAATCACACCGAACCTACGGTGATGGATGGGCTATCAAGCTCCAAGGTCACGGGTATAGGCCCTTACTATGGCATTCCCACATTAGCATGCATTCTCACGTATTGCAGTTGAATACCATGACCCATCTGGAGTATTTCCGTTGATTCAAGCAGACTTGGCGGCTCGACTACCGCTTCGGAACCTGCATTGGAAAGCCCCAACGAGGCCTTTACGGTCCATTGACTCGCTGCATATCGATCTTGTACCCAGTAAAGAATCTGCACAAATTACGAGCTCATCAACACCGGGACAAACTTCTAGACCTGGTACTTCAGCCACCCCAACTAGGACCACCGACGAGATATTCCGCCCGGCTACCAAAGAAAAAGAACGAAGACATCAGATACCTGGATTGCGTCAAACTCCATATCTTAAGGTCTACCTCCTAAGATGTGATGATTCGGATACGTACAAGTCAACTGCGCGAAAGCAGATACGAGAATGGGTAAAGGACCACACCCCACCTTCTCAGAGTAGCACATCTAGTACGCAGGAAAACCATGATGCCTTTGAGTGGATGATTCTTCATGTTGTGGTGCCTGATACCCCGGCAGCCAGCCAGCCTCGATGGTCTACTACGAGCACTTCAGGCGAGAAGGAGAAGAGTGGCATGAAGTGGACTCGTGGTACAACAACTTTGCTGGAAAAGTTGAGGGCCGACTTCAATATTCCATCGAAATCGGCACCGGATCGCATTGCTCAGATTCGAGTGCCAAAAGATCGAGTTCCTCCACACATGTTGCCAAGCCCAGCACCTGTGAGCTCTTCAGCCGTTGTGGAGAGCCCACAAGAGCAAGAGCGGGCTTGGTCAGATGTCATCACTAGACTCAAAGTTCTGATCCTATTATCATTCGATTTACGGGTCGGTCAGTACGAGGAAAACATTCGGAAGAACGAAGCACAGCGGTCATTCCCTGGCTGGAACTTCAATACATTCTTCATCCTGAAAGAAGGGCTTGCAAGGGGGTTCGAAAGCGTTGGTTTGGTCGAAGACGCTTTGCTTGGGTACGATGAGCTATCAATTGGGTTGGACACCATCATTCGTGACCAAGCTAGCGGAGAGGCACAGGGAGGAACTCTACTAAGCTACACAGAAGAACTTTATCAGAAAGCAAACGATCTTATTAAGCACAAAGGTCAGACTGGGGAGGATGGATTGAATCCACAAGTGCAGATTCACGATGACAGGCCCATCGATGCTCAGAAAAAGGACTATCGTGGGTTGATTCTCGCCAACAACATATCTGTCCTTGACTTCCGGATATATTTGTTTGCACGACAGATGTCTCTGCTCTTGAGATTGGGAAACTCCATCTCGGCACGCTCGGATCTTGCGGCCAAATTGCAGCCCCGCCCAAATGCTAATCCAATGCAGCGCGCAAGCGACGACAGCTCCGTCGGTATGAAATCTGGTGGGCCGACTAATGAGTCCGAGGACCTCTTCTCCTTGGCTGATCTCTGCTCTCGTGCACTCAACTTTGTCACATTTGCCGGTAGACTTCTGCGAGAGGACCTGATTACTGGGTAAGTAGCATTCACAGCTTTTTCATAATGTAGAAGGTACTGATACTTTCAAATAGCGCAAAAGCCAATGAGACAGTCTTTCCAGATCACATCATCGACAACATTGTCCGTTCATGGACATTCGCCGCGCTAGATCAAGTACTACGTGAGACTTCTACGAATTCACTTCCCTTTACCAAGTCTTCCAAGAACCTCTTGACCGGGTCTCCAGGGAAGAGTCTATCATTTAGCGGCCGAAGTAAGGAACAGAAGATGAGTGCCATTGAACAAAAGTCAATGGTACATCCATCCCGTTCTTCATCCCTGAGCACTGGTCGTTCCGGCTCTGCGGATATGCCATATGCGCAGCCCACGGCAAGTGGTCAGGTGATCTTCGAGAACGGACAGTATCGGGATCCACTAGCTTCAAGCCAGGCAGGCGCGAAAGTCTCAAACAAGAATGGCCTACAAGAGCTTGCCGGTCTTAGAGCTCAGCTACTCGCTATACAGCGTCGTCTGCTTGAACACGTTGGAAGAACTCTGGGTTGGGACATTGGCTGGGCAGCTATCCTCCCATCACTAAGTATCACAGAGGAAATGAGTGACGTTAACCTGGATGAAGACGCAGAAAAGGAAGACAAGGTTACTCCAAATACTACGAAAGAGGGCCATTCTGATCCAGTACTCGGCATCGTCGCTGGACCATTGGTCAGGGCAGTGTCGTCCATTGAGCAATTTCGCCAGCTCTACGAGGTAAGGCTAACAAGTACTCATGCCCTGGATGAATGCTGATTTATTGTAGAATTTGAGTGATATCATCGTAAAGCATTACATGGCGGCAGGACAGAGTAAATCGGCTGAAAGTGTGCTAGGTGATTTAGCCGCACTACGATTGTAAGTCGATCTTGATCAGCTATGTTTTCAAAATTAATCAGACTCAGTGAGATGGGCGATTTCGCTGCAGCTTCTGCCTACTTTGGGCGTATGGCTTCACAAAGCTCCCTCTTTGCAGAAAGCAGGTGGAATACTGTGGAGACTACTATGCTCAAGATGCATGCTCGTTGCCTTAAGAAGCTCAATCGCAAAGACGAGTATGTTCGAACGTTGCTCGACTTACTCGCAAAGTCTGCTGCAAGTCGAATGGCGTTCCGACCCTCTTCAAAGCGCGTTGAATCAACGGACGCATCGAAATTCCCTCATGACTGGTTAAATGATGACAAAGTAGACACAACTGGAGCTTTCCAGGAGCTAGTGAACTACTCGCAACAGCTGCCTTATGATGTTACGGTGAAGATGCCCAAGTACTTCAGCGATATCTCCGTAGAGCCACACGTGCGCCATTACGAAGACAAGGACGGATTCCAATTGCGTCTCCAATTCAGACATCTTTTAGAAGACGAAATTGAAATTCGTGCCGCAAAAGTTAGGCTTATTAACACCGCCCAAGCGCCAGGCAAGGAACTATGGCTTGAGAATACAGAAGCGACACAGTTGAAGAAGGGGCTGAATCGCATGTGGTTAGGCTGTAACGTAAGTTTACCATTTCTTCTGGCGCATATCATTTTCTGACTGACCCATAGATTAATACGATTGGTCCGTACATGGTTGATAAAATCATCCTCGAGGCCAAGCGAATCGTTTTCGTACAGGAGCCTCTGACAAGGACCGAGGCAACAACACCTCTCGGCATCACTACTTCAATCTCCGCCCATTCGCTCAAGGCGGCCAAAAAGGCGCGGATACTATGCTTTCCCCGCGCGGAAGCCTTCAACGCAAGGATCTACCTCTCGCACTTCATCCACATTGACAAACCACGTCATGTCGAGATTGAGATTTCGAGCGGCTGGAATGAGATTACGCGTGCAGAGATCCGACTAAAGTCGGCGTCTGCTGGGTTGCGTTTGAGGACAGCGAATGCAACCGTCGAAGCTGGAGATATCACGGTCGAAGACAACAAGGCACCTGGCACGATTGTGATTGGTAATATGGCAGCTAATACGATGGCGACTTTGAAGATACCCTATGACATGGAGTCGATTCTGCAGGATCTTGCTATCAAACTCGAGCTTGATTATACCACCCAAAAAGGCCAGTTCCAGTTTGTCGCACTGTCTATCATTCCGGTCGAGCTACCTTTGGACGTCAACGTACATGACCACTTCAAGGGTAACTCTCTTTTTTCAAAATTCAATATTAAAACGGCGAACCACATACCGCTAGAACTTCTAAACGTTGAGCTTGAAGGTTCGGACGAGTTTAGAGTTCATGCACCAAGAAGATCCAAGGAACTGCTGCACGTCTTTCCTAAACAACCAGTAGCAGTCACGTACAAGATCACAAAGAAATCTATTGAGTCCTCCGAGAAGCAAGAAAGTCGTAACCCGCCTTCCGGTAGCTTGGCGCTATCTGTAGAATATCGATGCCTGGATGAGGTTGTCCTTGATCGCGTACGAAAGCTCTTCGCAGATGCAGCTGCTAAAAGCCCAGTACACCGAATGGCGCGTCTTTTGACTCATACTTTCGCTGACCGGGTACAACATCACATTTTACCACATCAGTACGAGAGAATTGCTTTACTGGAAAAGCTCGATCTTGGCGCTTTCGAACACATGGGTTGGGGCGATTGTCTAGATAGCCTACCTCCTGTCATACGAGATGACACGAAGGCCTGGTTACAGAAGTGGCATGAAGTAAGAGTCTTCATCTTTCAAACTAATCCAATATCCTACTAACGCTGCTAAGGAACACAAGACAATTCTGATTCCTCAGAAATCAGATGTAGATCACGCGTCGCCAGCAACTGCACCCCCATCGCCCTACCCTCCTCGCCATATCATCATCACAGTATCGGTGCCGCAAACCCACATCCTCCATACCGTGGCCCTCGACTTCTCATCCGCTGCTATGGCCTCCCAGATCCCTTCAATAGCTACAATTGGCCAACCGATCATGACAACACTACGCATCTCGCATACTAGACGCTGGGGGTCACCGTCAAGTCTCATCTCTGCCGCCCATCTATGCTCTGCATCCGATCCGATCGACTTCATTTACACCATTGATGCCAACCCCGAGAATTGGCTTATAGCAGGCCAACGCCGTGCCCATTTCACGGCTAGCGAGGATGAGAGGCTCGAATGGCCCATCATGCTGATCCCACTCAAGCCTGGCTGCATACTTTTACCCAACGTGGAGATACGCGCAAAGATCAAACCAAGGGAGGAAGGTAAATCTGGTGCAAAGGAAGCAACAGCACCAACAGCAAAAGTGGAAGAGCAGGCATTGACTTGCGAGACGGATTATCTTAGTTATGGGGATTCGGTCATGGTGGTACCGGATTTGAGAAGCAGTACAGTGGGCATCTCGGACATGAGCTTGGGGAGCCCGAGGAGTGTGGTTTGGTTGGAGAGTAAAGGGGGGTGAGGATATGATGGGTTCTTGGAGATGGGGAAGCAGGGTTTGAGTTTTATGACGCGAGAGTTGGCTTTCTACTCAGACTTTGTGAATTTTGCAGTGGAAACTGTGTTGATCTAGTCCTGTACCAAAGTTTGAGAACTGCTTGGTAGTCTTCATTTATTTGGAAAACCGAGTCCTGCACTCGGCCTCATACGCTTCCAATTGCTCCATCTTCATATTCACAAATGCCTCCATCTCATCCTCCAAGTCCTCATCAAGCTTCTCCTGCCCCGGTTCATGAAGAGCAGCCCAATACACGGCATCGACGTCGAAACTCTTTCTGATCCCATAATCAAACCAGAACTGTTTGGACTCCCAAGACTCGCGCATGCGAGCTGACAGACTAGTTTGAGGACTTTCATCTTTCTCTAAAATCTGTTTAGTTTCAACCGTCTCCATCGCTTGGATGAATTGGTGCATGCGCGGCACGAATCGTGCATCGAATTCTTCCTTTGAGTGGTGTTCCAGCCACATATCCGGCCCGAGGAGAAGAAGCCACCATGGTGGATCGTAAGCGAATTGCGCGGGCAGCGCGTTTGAGAATTCAAAGTTTAGGACCGCTGTGATGGTATAGGTTTCTGGGTCTGCGAGCATATTTGTGGGCCGAAAATCGTCGCAGTAAGGCTTGAATGGGCCGGCGTCAGTAGGAGCGAGGAGGTACTTTTCGATGAGTTGCTTGAAGCGGTGGCGAGCAATGAAGCGTTTCCGAGCGTCCTCCCGCGTATCGGCAAGGTTTCGTTGGGTCTTCAGATGAACGAGATGCTCATCGGCCAAATGGTGCAGGAAAGCTCGTGCTGAAGCGAAAGGCGCGGTAGGGAAGTCGTGTCTCGGGTAGTTTGAGACCACGGTTGCCAGTTCATTCATGTTGTATGTCAATGGCCTTCCACTGACTGTCCAATCATTTGAGGCGTTTCTACTTATAGCTCCGATGGCATCTAGGTCCAACTGAGATAATTGTAGCATGTAGTCGGCCACTTGTTCGTAGACATATTGCAGTTTCGTTTCGTCTATGTCGGTTGCGAGCATAACCTCGTCTTGATCGGTTTCGGTAGGTTCCTTCAAAAGAGTGGATAATGTAGTCCCGTGAACATAGTTCATGATGAGAAAAGGGCCAAGCTGGCAAGGGCTCTCATCCGTCACCCCCCAGTCCAGAACCAGTGGAACAGGTATTTTGGTCTTTTCGCGCAGGTAATCCAAGAACAAGACTTCGTTTCTAACCTCCTCTTCTCGAAGAGTGGTAGCGGTATGCCCTGGTTTGGGGAAACGGATCACAGCTTTGCGGTCATCGCCTAATTTGATAACACGGCTAAGGTTAAAAGACCCTTTTAGATAGCCGTCAAACTCCCCAGGTATATTACTCTGTAAGCGCTGAGTTACAAAGGTAGCAATATCGTGCTTTGCGTCAATAAGCTTCGATACCCAAGTTCTGAACTCGTTGTCTCCGTCTGTCTCAGCTAGCTCGTCGAATACAGTCATTTTGGTTTGTCGATGAATGAATCCAAGAAGAGGGCAGTGGTTGAATCAGATGACGCGACTTGCTTGCGTCGAGGCGTGATAGAAGTGGTAAATTGGTGTGAGCATCATATGCTCAGAGCGATTTTTTTTTGCTATTGACAGACTTTGATTCCCCGATGAAGCAGTGTCAGGTGTGCAGTCAACGTTAGGTATCAAAGGGCAGTCTACCTACATACATTCCACATGATACAAGGCACGCTTAGTAAAGAGCGGCCATTACGCGTCAGGGGCTATAGGGCCTACTATAACGAATGAATTAATGGAGATATTTTTTATATTGTAGTGTTCAATCCTATCGCAAACGCATGAGAGATAGCATAGCCAACTACAGTCTACACAGTACAGTTGAGTCAGCGTTACCAACGGATCTGCCAAGGCGCCAGGCCCACTTGGGCTAACTCACGGGGGATGCATGTAAAAAAGGACTACGTTGTCTTGGATATGAAATAGGATACATGTCATTGTAAACAAGAAGGATCTTACAGTCGCTTCAGGTTTCACCGGTAAAGCCAAGTGGATTGCTAGCAAAAACCGCCAGGACGAACCATCATGGGGCAAGCAAACTAGCTATGATATCCCTTCACAAACACAAGGTTTGAAGTTTCGCCATGACACGTACTGTACCAACATCATAGCACTACAGATGCGACATCGAGAAGTAGAGATTAGCTGTTTGATGTGATACTGATCTTTTGCATTCGTCTTGATGTTCGTCACTATTATTACGTCCGGAACTCCATCGCTAAAAGTACAAATTCTGTCACGGTTGTGCAGATACTAGCCCAGCCTGAAACACGAACAATGCTTCAGCGACCCATTTCCACGAGGCACTTCTAGTCCTTGGGAAGCATCTCCTGCTCGCTTCCATCCCTCGGCACGTAGTTGATGCCTGCGTTCTCGACAGCTCCGATGACATCTTCGGGCAGGATACCCTCGACCTGAGTGGCGTAGACGCCCGGAACGTATCCTTCTAGGCGCTGATACCTGGCGACCCAGCTCCTCTTTGTATCCGCGACAGTGATTAGGCCTTCGAAGACTTGTGACGTGCAGTCGTTGATTTGCTCAGGGTTGCCAATCAACTCGAGAATGTCCTCGCAGTTGGGGCAGCCTTGCTGAAGAAACTGCTGATGGGTTCTGACGATGGAGCAGACCATGCAGGCGCGCATATGGCGCTGCTGGCTCGGGGGGATGTACGAGTTGCCTGCAGCCATGTTCTTGGTGCGAAGGTCGTCTGGGATGGGCGAGGTGCAGTTATTGCGTAGTGTTTTGCCGCGCGCGGTGGAGCTCACTGTTTCTGGCGCTTTCTCCTGTGTTCGATGGTCGATGCTAGCCTTGGTAGACGCTTTGTTTTGGCCTGTAGCTTGAGGGCGGGCGTGAGTAGGTTGCTGCTTGTGCTTTACTATATGACCTTGAAACGTTGGTGACTTGGGGGGAAGTCTACTGTTGTGGAGAGAGCATTTGCAAGCGTGTCGCTTTCGCTTTGTCCCGAGGCTCGGGGAGCTTGGCGAGGCTGGCGCAACGGCTCTCGAACCTTCACTCGCACTTTAACTGGGCCATGGGTCTTGGGCTTGGCAGCACAGTCGCGCTTTGGTACCTCTTCCACCTTGTCTGGGGAATGACCAAGGTCGCTGAGATTGCCATCGGAAGAGAGGCTGTTGCTGTCTGAATCAACGATCTTGTATTTGTCATTTTTGTTTGGCGTCTTGACCAGCGCAACGCCTTTTCGGGGCATGGTCGCAGTCGCCCGCTTAGCAGTACAGCAACGGTAACGCTTGGGTTCGTGCTGGGCGTGCTGGGATCGCTGGGCGGCTTGCTGGGTTGGGGTGGCGAGGCGAGGCGAGGCGAAGCGAGATGACGCCGTCTTCGTGGTCAGTTGGCCAGTGGGCAAGTGTGTGGGCAGTGACCGGTTGGGTGTTGGCGGGGACCGAAATGCTTGATGGCTTTTGGCGGGCGCTGTTGGTGGCGGGCTGGCTGGGAGTGGTTTGGGGGGGGGGGGAGGGGGGGCAGTCGCGCCGCTACCAGCAAAAGATAAACTAAACTCCCACAGCCTTCGTTCCTTCCTTTTGCTACGTCACTGTTGTTTGCTTGGAAAGAACATTTGAAAGAAAAACAACAAATCTGTCAGTCGCAGCTGCCGTCCGATCCCCCTTCCGCCCTCAATCTCTGCAGGTGCAGCCAGCCGTCGCGCCTTCCGTCTCTCCCAAGTTGCAACAACCCGTGTGTGTGTGTGTCTCGCATCGCCAGCCCTACCATTCACACCCTAGACCATCCCTCACTTCACCCTCCACCATGGGGACTCCGTCCGAGGAAGCCACTGCGCTTAAGAACCAGGGCAACGATGCGTTCAGGAATCAGGCCTGGGACAAGGCATTGGAGTACTACACCAAGGCCATAGAGGCTTACAATGCAGAGCCCTCCTTCTACTGCAACAGGGCTCAAGTTGGTCTCCCCCTCCCTCCCTCTAACCCCCGGTGTCGCACACAACCGCGTCCCTAACCCGCTTGCAGACATACATCAAGCTTGAACAGTACGGCTATGCAATCCAAGACGCAGACACCGCCATCGAGCTTGATCCCAACAATGTCAAGGTATGGCTCCTCCAGTGAATGCATTGCGTCATGGCATGCCACTGACAGCAGCCCCACCACCAGGCCTACTATCGTCGCGCCTCCGCCAACACCGCCATTCTCAAGCATCGCGAAGCTCTTCGCGACTGGAAGCTCGTCGTCAAGAAGGCTCCCAATGACGCAACCGCAAAGCTGCGCATGGTCGAATGCGAAAAGGTCGTTAAGCGAGATGCCTTCCTCAAGGCCATCGAGGTTGAGGATGCGCCGTCTGCGGCCGAGGGGCTTGATCTTGAGAACATGGCAGTCGATCCTTCCTATGACGGTGCGAAGCTGGACGATACAATGACATTGGAGTTTATTGAGGATATGATCGAGAGATTCAAGAATGGAAAGAAGCTGGCGAAAAAATACGTCTACCAGATCATCATCAAGGTCATGGAAATCGTCAAGAGCGAACCTACCATGGTCGAGTACGACGTTCCAGAAGGACACCAAATCACCGTCTGTGGAGATACACATGGTGAGCCAATACACGTGTACATCCATCCAATTCGCGGTACTGACAGCGCGCAGGTCAATTCTTCGATCTAATGAATATTTTCGAGCTCGCAGGAAAGCCTTCAGAGACGAATTCCTTCCTCTTCAACGGCGACTTCGTTGATCGTGGCTCTTGGTCCTGCGAGATTGCGCTCCTGCTGTACGCCTACAAGTGGCTGTATCCAAACACATTCTTCCTGAACCGCGGAAATCACGAGACAGATGACATGAACAGGATGTACGGCTTCGAAGGCGAATGCAAAGCAAAATACACCGACCGCGTCTTCAAGCTCTTCTCCGAGTCCTTTTCAGCCCTCCCCCTGGCTACACTGATTGGCAAGAAGTACTTTGTACTCCATGGTGGTCTCTTCTCGGACGACAAGGTCACGCTTGACGACGTCCGGAAGCTGGATCGCTTCAAGCAACGCCAGCCAGGTCAAGCTGGTTTGATGATGGAGATGTTGTGGACCGACCCACAGACGAGCCCTGGCCGAGGCCCCAGCAAGCGTGGAGTTGGTCTCCAATTTGGGCCGGATGTCACTAAGCGATTCTGCGAGAACAACGGCCTCGAAGCCATTATTCGGTCGCACGAAGTCCGTATGGAGGGTTATGAAGTCGAGCACGATGGACGCTGCATCACAGTCTTCTCTGCGCCCAACTACTGCGACAGCACGCACAACAAGGGTGCTTTTATCAAGATCGGGTCTGATTACAAGCTCAAATACACGCAGTTCAACGCCGTGCCACATCCCAACATCAAACCGATGGCTTATGCCTCCACCGGCATGGCTGGCATGATCTAGTGGATCTTTGAATTAACTGGCTGGATGACGTACCAGATACTAGGCTGGCTGATGGGTCGGCTGGTTGGGCTGCTGTTTGGTCCTTCATGAAGCGATGCATTACTACGGTGTTCTTCGGCGCGTCAGCATATTCAAGCCATGGTCAGGCGGCTTTGTCTTGTTTCTGGGTATGGATGAAATGAGCATGACACATTGTATAACAACAACAGGCTTTGGGTGGGGTGGGGGTGACAAAAAGGCTTATCCGTTATGTATCCTCTAGCGTATGAGCAGGTAGGCCTTTGAAGAGATATTCCTCAGGCCCAATAGTACTCGTAATGCAACTCTATTCTATCAAGATCTCTTGTTCATCAATAGGCCCTTTTTGCTCATGCAGAAAGTGAGATTGCCATGCGTGCATGGATGCCCCCTTCTTTCCCCTCCCCGCTCTCATGCGACACATGTATGACCCCACGTGTTGCCCCGCAACGCCAGTCCGATTTCGCGTATCTTGTTTACACAATTGGGGCTGAGTTGGGTTGGGCAACAGGGATCTCTCCCCCATACTGTGCCTACCTAATCCCAACATGCTTTACGCCGCACACATTTCATGATGTTCAAGTGTTTGTATGTTATATCGAGACGGTTTTTTTATTATTTAGACTGCTAGTTGATTCTGGGTTATATGATAATGAGAGTACCACTGTTTCAGTCGACCTTTTGCCCGCGAAATTACGTGAGAGCTTCAGCGCCCGTGCCGCAT